CATTGCCAGAAATTTCGGACAAAATGGCGTCGGGCATGCGCATTTTGCATAACAATGGCGGCCATACAGCCATATAAAATGTATGGGAGACGGTAAACTTTCCTAAATAAGAAATCTAATTCTTTATATTTCTCTCTTCTCTACATCGAATAATAATCGCGAATGCAGTGGTTACATGTTAGACCTAAAATGAGCTTCTAGAATATTATCCTCGTGGTTCCTCGGCTTCTGACTTTTTCTGCACTCAAAGGCCATACATTCTCTCTTAATTTGCTATAAATTTGCATACCTTAGTCACTTCAAGATGAAAATTGTATACGAAATCGTCGACTTGGACAACTTCTCCGCATCGGTTCACGTAGACGAGTGTTTAGCTGATTCAAAACAGCTTTTAGACTGCGATATAAAACTACTTTGAAGGTTCCCACGAAGGATGAACTTTGGTTATTTTCTAGGCTAGAAGTCGCCATGATATCTCTTAAAAATTTCAAAAAAACGCTTAAAAAAGAATCAAAACACACCAAAATAATCGCTGTGCTGCCATTTTGCTTTTCGAAGCTTTTATTGCATGCTGGGAAGCAATCAGGGAGCCCAAGGCCTTCCTTTTTTGATTTTCACGTTTGCAGTGGATTTAGAGCTCTTGGGCTTCCTGTGGCGAAACATAACAATAGAAATTGGAGCTTTTTTTGGAAAATCGCTCTATATTATCATATTTCTGTTTTATAAGCCTTTATTTAGTACTAGTATGTCTTTTCAAGCCGTATTTGTACTTTTTTTCTTAAAAATAACAACATTCTATGATTTTTGATAAATGTCCCAAATTTCTGGCAATGTGATTGGTAAGCCTACAGAGTATACTCTTACTACTTTGAATTCTGAGAAGGAAGAAAAATCTGGTATGGAAGTAGAAATGATTGTAAAAGCCTTGAAATCTGACGACCAAGTAAACTTAGAGCATGTTCTAACAGTTGATAGACTCCCTATATCTTGCAATGTCCCTACAGATGAAGAATTGCAAAACTTGTCTTATCTGCAAGATATTGAATTTCTAAGGCTCAAAGATGGTAAGGTATCTATTCTCATTGGAAGYGATACGCCCGAAGCTCATTGGGTCTTCGACGAAAGACGTGGTAAACAGAAACAACCCTATGCTGTGCGTACGATACTTGGATGGACATTGATCGGTCCAATTGGAGGCAARCGRAAAGATGCAAACATACACTTCATTTCTGAAGGTCAAGATTTGATATCACACCAATTGGAGAAATTGTATAACAATGAATTCCCTGAGTCAGCATCGTGTAMTGTTGGAGAATCGAGGTCTGTAGAAGATAAAAGAGCGTTGTGCATCATGGAATCATCTGCATGTATTGTTAACGGMCACTATCAAATTGCATTACCTTGGAGTCGTGATTCACCAAACCTACCCAACAACCGCCGCTATGCTGAAAAGAGATTGAAATATTTGAAGCRTCGGCTACTTAGTGATTCAGTGTTATATAAAGGCTACAAAGCWGCGATGGATGAGTACATCGAACTGAATCATGSAAGAGTCATCCCAGAAGAATTTACTGACATTCCAGAGAAGCAAGTATGGTACCTACCACACCATCCGGTATTCCATCCTCAAAAGCCAGGGAAAACTAGAGTAGTGTTTGATTGYGCARCCAAGTTCCAGAATACATCACTGAACGAACAACTATTGCAAGGACCAGATATGACAAGTACCCTCATTGGAGTTCTTCTTCGGTTTCGCTTGGAACACGTAGCATTTATAGCCGATGTAGAGAAGATGTTCCTGCAAGTACGCGTACCTCCTGATGATTGTGATGTCTTGCGTTACCTATGGTGGCCAAATGGCGATTTGTCAAGGACTCCTGTTGACCATCAGATGTTGGTACATATTTTTGGCGCGAAGTCATCCCCTAGCTGTGCAAGTTTTGCCATGAGGAAAACAGCTTCTGATAATGAGAATGACTTCGATGCTCAAACAGTCAATACTGTCTATCGTAATTTTTATGTGGACGATTGCCTCAAGTCCTTACCTACAAAGGAAGCAGCTATCATG